CACAAAGCTTTCCATCCTTCCTCCCCCACACACATGGAGAGGGGAGATGGCAAAAAAAAAAAAAAAAAATCCCTCAGCTGCTGTCCTGGGGCACCTCCCTTATTACACCTGGTGCAGAGCAAAAAAAAAAAAACGCAATACATGGCCTTGCCCCATCATCCACATGGGGCTGGAGCATGTGTGCAAGTGTTCTCCTGCCTCAGGCTCTAAATCTTGTACAGTGTCAATGCTGCAATATTCCTAAAGAAGTTCCCAGAGCCAAGTATTTATCACCCCCATGAACCAGTAACAAGGCACCTTGCTCTGACTGGAGATGTGATAGCACTTCCAGGAATGATTGTGTGTGATGTGAACTCAGCCTCTGGTTCAAAATATTGTGCAGAGGAATAATAAATCTCAGTGCTAAATTGCTGCCCCATTTAAGCTTTGATTAGACTCTGATGGTCTGTTCACCCTGGAGCTGCTGGTATTAATCTGCATGCTAAACCCTAATTATAAACTGCTCATGGCATTTCCAGATGACATCAAGATGTTTGGGATTAAAAGAAACCCTGATGTTGAGTTTACAGCTTGGAAGGACTGTAGACTACCTGATCCCCACAGATGTAATAACTCACCTCTGTGTGAGGAGGAAGAAAAAAGGGAGGTTTGGTCCAAGAGTGTAGCAGGAGCTTGTGGGGAACAGGTCTGGCTCCAGACCCTGATATGTGTCCCCAAAATCTCCCTCCCCCACACCTGTAAAGGGATGTGAGATGCACACACGTGTTCCTGCAGGTGCTTCATGTCTCCAGCTCCACACAGATCTTATCCAGCCCTGACTGAAGCAAGTGCAGAAGGGCTTGAGGCCAGCCATGAAAGTGAACCAGCAGGATGGGATGGCTGGGGAAAAACTTTTCAGGGTGAAAGAACTCTGGTTTGGCTGCACAGCACTGTGGCATCAAGGAGTCCAGCAGTGGGGACATCACTGGGCTGGGCATGTGGGATCAGGCTGAGAAGAGCCAGAGGCAGAAAGATGCTCTGAATCACTCAGCTTTCCCCTAAGGAGCTGTGGCTGATGTTTTGGAGTGCAAAGGGGTGAAGGTCTGTGTTGGAGAACTCCCTCTCCAAAGCTGCCATGGTCCTAGGAAAGGAGTAAACATCATTTGTGCCCTCCTGCCCTCTGAATCACCCATCTGAACTGCTTGCACCCCATCCAGGCCCTCAAGAGAGCAAAGCTGGAGGGCATTCACATGTCTTCAGACGGCTGAGTGCCTTGCACAGAGCAGGAATAGATGGTGTGTGCATTTTGGTCAGGTTTCCTACAGGCACAGGCCTGTGCCATGGTTCTGGCTGTCAGCTCCTGCTCCTCACTGCCCCCCTGCATAATTTTTTTTCCTTTAATTCCTAGGATGAAACACGTTTGGCAGATCAAAAAAAGGCTCTTAGACTTCACACACTGAAAATGAAGTAGGGGAGACCCAAAGGACTTTCCCTCAGCGAGCAAAATGCTTCTTCACTGAGTGCCATGATATGATCAGCCAGGTGGGGACACACACCTGGGTATCCCAGGTTTCTTTTAGTCAAACCCAGGTGGAAGAAAAGATACTCAGGGCACCTGAAAGAAGGAGGCAATCTATGCTGGTGGAGTGGTGGTGGGTGCAGAGGAGTTGGACGTGAGGGCAGAGCAGGGGAAGGCTTGGCTTTGTCACTGCTTTGCACCTTCCTGCATCCCACTAATGCCAACCCCAAAGGGGTGATTTCACCCCTGGGGATTTCACAGCTGCTCATCTGCTCTGGGTGTTTCTTGTTGGTTCCAAGACCCTTGGGAGGCTCGTCAGGTCCTGTGTGGTGTACCCGAAAAGTGTCACCGAGTCTGTGGTGCTACAAAGCTGCTGTTCAGACAGATGTGAAGGGAATGTTTCTGAGGGTTTATAACATGCTCACATTTTGGAACTGGGAACCACGAGAGGTGCCAGTGCTGGACTCCATGGGAAACTTCAAAAATCAAAAATACCCTCCATTTAGGGACTTTCTCACTGGCACTGTGGAGTGCTTGTGATTTTCTATGAGAAAAGAAAGCAGAAGCAAAATGTGCTGGTCATCTGCAGAGATGCAGATATTTGGGTTTCCCCTTCTTGAAATGCAACTAGAGAAGGGAAAATGGGGGAGTTTGTGGTTTCTGCTTCACTTTCTCCCAGTGTTGGACATGATGACAGCATAGGGGAGGTTTAGGTTTTGTGGCAAGTCTCACAGATGTCCTTCAAAATGACAACCCCTTTTGGGAGCAGGAAGGGTTAAACTGGCTGTGGTGTGAGGCTGGGCCTTTCAGCTGTGGGTGCTTTACCTGGCAGACTTCTGGCTGTTTCAGGGCTTTTGGGTTTTTTCTTCTTCTCCCTTGGTAGAAGTGGCTCAGAGCCTCCTGCCCTGCTGGGAGTGTGAGCAGAAGGCAACCATTTGCTGGACAGCTGGGAAAGGGAGGAATGGGGCTGTGAGCAGCCTCCAGGCAGGTGCACACTGGGGAGGAAAAGTGGGATGGAGACGTAGGGGAGCTACCAGCTTGACACCAGAGCAGTGGTGAGGTAGGAAATAAATGTCTGGTCAACTTCTTGATGGCCTGTGGGATGTTAAAAGGGTGCCTGCCTTTGCTGCCATGGGCCACGTGTGGCATTGGGAGTCCTTCCCAGCCTCAGGATTGCCAGAATTGGAGTATCCCATCACCTCTACTTTGGGTTTGATGCTGAGGACAAGCAAATTGAGGTGAGAGCACAGGCACTGTCCCTGTCAGAGCCCAGGAGGTTCCTACTGCCCTCATTTGCACATCACAGGTGTGCCTTGGCATAGGGGCTGTCTGGCCCTAACAGAGATAACAGAGATGAACTGCAGCCCTGTAGTGCTCTGTGCAGTCCTGAAGGCTGCCCACTGCTCCAGACTCCCTCCTTCTGGGACAGAGTGGTCAGAGCTCCCCTTGGATCCAGCTTGTCCCTCCCACCCAGTGACAGAAATCCAGTCGTGTTGCAGGAGGGGTTCAGGTCACATTCAGAATGTGCTTCAGGCACCTTATATTGGAATTAAGCCTGGGGGTGCTGCATGTGAGGGGACTCACATCAGGATAAAGCCCCAGTCTTGGAACTGGGCGCTTCCTGTTCCCAGGGGAAATTCGGGCTGCATTCCCAAACCCAGGGCTGGGAGGGAGCATTGTCTGAAGGACATGGGGAGATCTCACCAGGCATGTCAGCAAGGGCATTGATGAAGGTGTCACAGAGACCTCTTGGTCTGGTTTCTGTGGCTCCTGCTGACACCCCCAGGGCTCAGAGCAGATCCCAGTGCCATGGAAAGGGATGTTTGTGGCTGGGCCTCTGCAGCACCCACTCAGGAAAGCCAGCTGCAACATCCATCTGAAGCAGAGCAGGGAGAAAGAGGGTAAACCCCAGCTCACCAAGGCAGGAGGCAGCAGCCAGATACCTGGGAAAGGCAGAGAAAAGGGCATTTAATGATCAGGGTGTGTACAGGTGACCACCACCCTGCCTTGCCTGAACCTAGAGAGCCAGGTACAAGATGCCAGTATACAAAAACCAGCCAGATACAGCCTTGCACACCCATGTGAAGGCACAACTCCCTCCCCATCCAGCATGTGGACATGTACCACAGGACATGACACAAATCCTCCTTCAGATGCAGAAGAAGTCACTCTGTGCTGCATACATAGATTCACCCACACCATTTTGGGTGTATGTATACACCCACACACTTCTGTGCCTATGCACAGAAGTTTTGCCTCAAAGTTTGTGGTTTTTTCCTTTCCACCCAGTACCCACTAGCTTTGTCTATCCCCCCCAGCCCCCAAACTGGGCACAGCAGAGCTCTGCAGCCCTGCCCTGCTCATTTGGGTCTTTGAGACCTGCAAAGGGTAAACTGGGACCGGGGGTGGGGGGGGCCTGAAAGCAAACTAATGATGAAAATGTCTCCTCCATGCCTGTGCCTTAATTAAATGCATGGAGAGGCTCGGGGAAGCACATCTGTTTTCAATCTGGAGCCCTTTGATGGCATCAAATGTTCTTTCCCCAGATCAGGGGGGATGGAAATTCTGGGCTGGCTGTGGCAGCTCGGAGCCCCGGCTCCAGCCATCGGGAACCTTTCCTGGCCCGCGGCTCCGGCCCCGCTGTCCTGGGGCAGGGTCCGAGGGCCACTACCTGTCCCTGGCCACAGGGGCCACCAGGGCCAGGACACGCTGCAAGGATCTCTTTGCTGGCTGGCCTGAGGAGCTCCGATTGCATCCTCGGGGTTTTTTTGGGTTTTTTTTCCCCTTCCCTTCTGTTCTTTTCGCTTTACTCCCTTTTGCTCTGTTTCTCTCAGCTCTCTGCTGCACTTTCCGCCGCTTTTCCTCTTCCCTGTTCACACTTTCTGTCCCGTTACCCCCGGTCACCTTTCCATCTGCATTTCCCATTTTCCCTATCTCTCCCCTCAATCCCGGCGGCGCGTCCACGCTCCCCTCCAGGTGCAGCACCGCCCCATAAGGGGGACCCTGCTTTTCCCCACCCCCCGCACCCCGCTTTGTCCCCCGCGGGTCCCCGACGAGCGCGGCGCTGCCATCCCCATCCCGCTGCCACGTCCCCCGCGGGTCTCCCTCCCTCCTTCCCTCCCTCCTTCCCCCCGGTGCCCGGAGCGTCGCGGAGCCGCCCCCGCCGTTTGAAGTGCGGGCTGAGGGAGGGGAGGGCAGGGGCGGAGGGAGCGGAGCCGGCGGCAGCGGGGGCGGAGGGACGGGGCGCACCCGCCCCAGCGGCCCCACAGCCGCCCTGCGCCTCTCGGCCGGCGGCAGCTCCCGGCGCCCCGAGCCGGCCGCCGCCTCTCCCCTCCGGCATGTTTTAAACGCGCTCCCCTTCGGGCTTCCCTCCGCGCTGCCGTCGGGTGCCGTGCCGTGCCGTGCCGTGCCGTGCTCCCTGCGCTCGTTCCCCCCTCGGAGCGCCGGCGGGGGCGGTGGGCGCCCGCGGGGGGCCAGGGCAGAGCAAGCCCCGCTCGGCACCATGGCGTCCAGCTATGCCCACGCCATGGACAGGCAGGCCCTGCTGCCCGCCCGCCTCGACGGCCCCGCCGGCCTGGACAATTTACAAGCCAAGAAGAACTTCTCCGTCAGTCACCTGCTGGACCTGGAGGAGGCGGGCGACATGGTGGCCGCCCAGGCGGAGGAGGGCGGCGGCGAGCCCGGCCGGAGCTTGTTGGAGTCGCCCGGGCTGACCAGCGGCAGCGACACCCCGCAGCAGGACAGTAAGTGCGGGGACGTCCTTTCCGTCCTTCCCGTCCCTTGCATCTCTCGCCGGCTCCGAGGGGACTCCGCTGGTGCTTCCAGCCCGGCTTCCCCCGCTCCCCGAGCCGCCCTTCCCCGCCGGGGTCGGGACCCACCGACGTGTGGAGACCCGTGTTTTCCCCCAGCCGCGTCCCGGGAAAGGGGGCAGCGCCCGTCGGGTCCCGTGGCCTGGCTCCTGCACCCCGTGGGGAACTGGAGAACATCCCGGGGAGCAGAAGCGGGCAGGATCGGGCCCGCGGGCTCGTCTGTTCCTTGCCAGGGTGGGCTGGGAAGGGCGCTTGGCTGGACGGGGCGAGGCGCTGAGCCCCCATCCCTTCATCCATCCTTTCCTCCATCCCACCATCCCTCCATCCCACCATCCATCCGCCCGTCCCTCCGGCCCGTCGGAGCGGACACCGGCGCTGTGCTTTGCGGGACACCGGGAGGCTGCTCAGGGCTCAGGATGGGATCCGGACCATTGTCCGATGTCCTGCCGGGAGTTTCGGGGCTCGCCATCAGCCCGAGGGTGCGTGCGCGGTTCCGAGCGGAGCCGCAGATTCCCTGCGCTCCCAGCCCCGGTTCTCCCGGATCCAGGCGCGGCGGGCAGCGCAGGACAGGGGGGCAGAGCAGGACAGGACGAGGGGCAGAGCCGTGTTTGAATTGCCCGTCCTGAAGAGCCCGAGCTCGGGAATTCGAGTGAGCCAGCAGCCCGGGGGCAGCGGGATGGGCGCCGGCTTGCGCGGCGCTTTCCAAGGGCCGCGTGTTGTTTTCCAAGGGCAGCGCTGTCAGAAAGGCTGAGCGGGGAGTGCAGGGTCAGCAATCCCCCTTTTACCCGCTCTCTGTTAAAATAATTCTGTTCCTGGCCGGGAGTTCCGTGGGGGTCCGGGCTGGTCCCCGCTGCGAACACGGGCGCGCTTCCGAGGGAGCTCCCCGGCAAAAAGCGGGGAAAAGGCAACGAAACGAAACGAGAAGCGAACGAAAATGTCAATTGCAATTTTTGTTCGCTATTCGATTTTTTTGTTGGTTTGGTTTTTTGTTGCGCGTTTGGGTTTTTTTTTGTTGTTGTTTTTTTGTTTTTGCCCCGGGAGCCGCCTCCGACCCTCTTTTTCCCCGTGGATCCGACGTGGTTTTCTCGGTATTCCGAAGGAAACCGAGCTGGGGAAGGGGGGAAGCCTTTCCCCGAGCAGCCGCTCCTCGCAGGATTGCCCGTGGGATCGCCGAGCCCGGCGCGGCCGGATGCGTTCCCGGCGGGGAGCATCCTCCAGGAGCGCGGCTGCCGGAGCGGCTCCTCTGCCCCCCGACAGCCCGACCCACCGCTCCTGGCACACGGCTGCAAAATATTTCCCTTCCCAGCACCCGAAAAACTGCAATTTCTGCCTCTAAAGGTGTGCGTTTTAGTGGGGAAAAACAGTGATTGCGGCCGCCCGCGATTCGGCTCCTTGTGCCGCTGGAGAATCACCGAGATATCAAATGCAGACAACTTTTTTTTTTTATTTCTGCTCTGTACCCAATTTAGTTTATCGTATTTTATTTGGATTTACTCCTGATTTACTCCGATTTACTCCTGATGCTGCCCCTTGCCGACTTCAAGCTCGGTCAACGTGGAAAAGGGGAAAACTGCATTTCACCAATAATCACCTTGTTCTTAAGAGCATGAAAAGAACCGAAAAAAAGCCCAAACCAGTCCAAGGGCTTATTTTTTAGCCAGCACTGCTAAGCAGGGACCAAACTACAGCTTCAAATAATTTATAAATTCTCTGAACGCTGTAAAAGTTTTAATACCGTTGCGGTGAATTAGAAAGTTTTAGAAGTATTCTAAAGTAAGCAACGACAAAAGAAAAAAGGAGAGAGGAATAAATTCTCCCAGGTTTATGGGGCAGAACTGTCATCTGGGCTTTCTGGCTCTCTCATGGGTGCATTTAGCACATCCCGGGAGGCTCCGTGCCTCAGTTTCCCTACCTGCTGCGTGTGTTCTGTGAAGTGTTGTGCAATCCGTGCAGGAAAAGGACTGTGCTGGGGCTAGGAAGGGCAGCAGAGGTAGGAGCTTTTCTCTGTGAAAAATGAGAGCTGGTTCAGTGGAAAAGCTAACACAGGGGTTAGTTACACTCTCTCCATGTTTTTAAGTGAGAAAAGGTAAAAGCCGTTTGAAGAAATTGTGGATTTCTCGAGAATACTAAAAATGTTCTTCCAGCCTGAAGGAAAATCAGCTGGTCTGCCACTGATTTCTGTCCCAAACTGAAAAACCAAATTCTTGGTGCTGTTTTTGTGAACAAAAATTAAGAGAAGTAGTTTGATGCAGAAATGACAAAAGGTTTTATTTGGACGTTTGAGATTCAAGGGAATATTTTACCGCTGTTTTATTTGAGAGAGGTTCAGGATAAAACGTTTCTCTTATTAAGAAGAAAAAAACATTCCTGAGAGTAGCTGTGACTGTAATATTTACAGGGAGAGCTGTCCCTGGGTTAAGGAGCTGAGTTTTTCAGCAGTGCTGCCGAGCTGTCATTCTTCCCAACTTCAGTTCAGCTCCTGGCTCTGAGCACCTTCCCCTAAAAGCTGATAAACATCAGGGCAAACCTCGCTGCCTCTGCTGCTCTGCTGGGAAGGCTTTGCAATCCCAGTTCCAATTTGTCACAGAATAACCTGTTAAGATAAAACCAACTCTTGCTGTGGTAGCACAAGTTTTGCTAACCCCAGCTAAATCTGGGATGAAAATGCAGGTCCCAGCTCGGCTGAGGGGATCCCCCAAGCTTCCTAAAAAAAGGCAATGAGCTCCTGTTGCTTTTGTGCCCTTTGTGGGTGACAAAAACCTGTCAGTTGCCTGTGGGCTCTGGGGTAATTCTCAATTGTCGTTTGTTTTTTTTCAGATGGACATTTTTTACTCCTGTTTTTTGTTTTTTTTATTTGGTTGGTTTGTTTGAGACTCACTGTTGATGGCTCATAAAATGGTGTAGAGAAAGCACAAACAGCAAAAGAAAAATTGTTACGCTGGGATTTCTTTTGTGAGGAGTGAATAAACCGTGCTTCAGTCCATTACATGCTCAAGTTCTGTGTTTTGGGGTTATTGCTGTCCTTTAATCTCTCTTCAGTACAAAAGTACTGGCACTCAAGGGGCTGACAGATTATATCAGGCTGATTCACAACTAAAGCTGAGCACAGGCTCTGCCTGAGTCCCCCCATGATTTTTTTTCTGTCCCAGTGAGTGTTGTCACCCCTCAGCACTGCTGCTCCTTGTCAAGGAAATCCCAGAAACTCTGCTGGGAAAAGGTGAGAGAGTTCCTCTGCTCAGGCAGAGCATCGGTGTGGCTTCAGCCCCTCTTCTCTGGCAGCAGGTTGAGGAAGGGCTTTTTCAGCTTTCTCACTGTTTGGTGATGGGGCTTGTCACCCCTGCATTTTGCACAGATCAGAAATGGGTGTTATTTCAAGAAAGGACTGACAGACTCAGGGAGGATGAGGATGGCTGCTCACTGCAGCAGGGTTTGGAGGCAGCGGCTGGCTCAGGGAGACTGGAAGGATGAGCTGGGGCACAGATCTCTTCCTTGCTGCCTGGGCTTAAACCCTCTGCCTGCTGCTCCTGGCTGGCTGAAACAGGATCCTGAGCTGGAGCACTTTGGGTCTGCTCCCACATGGCTGCTCATTTTGCCTTAATTGCCTCTTTTTAATCAGGACAAGTGGGGTTGTTCCAGGAGTAAAAGAGTGTGTCTAAGTACTGAATTGTCTGTGCTCCTGTGCCTCCTCATCCTTCACAAAAAAAAAAAAAAAAAAAAAAAAAAGAGAGGTGGAAAAGCTCTGCCACTGCTTGGAAATGTGGAAAGCAATTCCTTGGGCTGCTGAGTTGCTGAGGATGAGGGCAAGAAGAAGAACCTGGGACAACTGCAGGGTTTTCTCTGCAAAATTTATCTGCATTATCTTGGAGTATGAAGCATCTCGTTTGTTAGTTATTCCAGAAGCCCTTATTCCCAGAAGATGCTGCATCCTTAGACGGGGGGGATGTACAACCAAGAGATAGATGAGAGGAAAATGGATTAAAGCTAGGAGTTTTCTTCCTGCCTTGTCCTGCTGATGGACAGAGAGTCTTGGGGCAGCAGCTGGTGCTGGTATCCACAGGTTCCACCGGGGAATCCGGCCGGTGCCTCGATGCCCGCGGACAGCGGCGGATCTTCCTCTAGAAAGAGGAAACATTCTTTTTCCCAGACTTCTGAAAAAAGAAAAGTCTGCAGACTTTCCTTAGGAAAAGCGAGGATCAGATCATGATTGTTTTTAAGGTGCTTGTTGCAAATAATCCACGTGAAAAACGCAGATCCTCGTCGGAAAAAAACCTTTGCGCGCGCCGGTTTTACCGCGCGTATCCTCGAGGCTTTGGAGAGAGTTCGCTTGGCTAAAGGTTGAATCACAGATAACTAATACCCAGCAGTTGTTAGAAGTTTGATTAATTCCTTTCCATTTGTGTTCCTTGGGCATCTCTATCTAATTTTGGCCTCGGGCTGGCAGATGAGTGGTTATTGCAGCGGGTATCGCGGTGTCAGAGATTTTTCTGCCATGTCGGAATCCTGCAGTTTGAAGTGGGCGAAAGTTTTGTGTTATGTAAATTTCTGCAGCTTCTGGACAAAGACAGAAGATGGAAATGTGGCTCTGCCACATATCTGGAGTCTTAAAAGAAAAAGGCACAAAGAAATAAACGAAAGTGGTCAAGGTATTGTTATTAACAAAGAAAAAAGAGCCATGTGAATCTAGAGGCTGGCTCTGTCTGTGAGTGCTTTTCCTTTGACAGGTGAAAAGAAACTTCTATTTGTTTGTGAATTTCACTTTTTTTGATCATAATCAGTTTTGCTTCCTGGTTCTCATGGTCTCATGATTTGCTGATGGTATTTGTGTTTTCAATCCATCCACGCAGAGCTTCCAACTTTTTAATTTGAAAAAGATTTTGCCGAAGGTTTTTACTTTCCCTCCTTCCCCCCTTAACGTAATGAAAACATTTCCATGAAAAT